GGAATTTTTTTTATATATATATATATATACATACTGCCCCTACATGGGATGTACCAAATATGAATTGTGTGCCGTTTCATGCACTGCTTTTATGTTTTTGTTTTGTTTTTTTCTCCTCCTATTGTACATTCCAGTCACAACCTGGTGGAACAGTACAAGTCAAAGCTGGATTATCCTGGAAATGCTTCATTTTTTCCACCTGAAAAAATGAAGCATTTATTGCTGTAGCAATAGATCAATAAATGCCATCAATATGTTTGTGTTCATGTTATTTTGTTTTTTTTGTTTTTTGCGTATGACTTGCTGGCTATATATTCTAAGCTGTACTTCCGTATTTGTTGCTGGAGATAATAATTTGGCGTGCCAGGTGTCGATTTTGTGAGGGCTCTATCTTTAGACTGTAGAAGCTAAATCACTTCATGTGTTGCCATAGTAACAAGACTGCAAGACTAAAAGCACAAGAGTAAAAGTGATGTACTGGTGATGGAGGTGGGAACAGTGATGAAATTATTAAAAATGGAAGGATTGTTCATGAGTAAATGAATGAACAATCGGGTGAGCAAAACCATGACACAGCTGCCTGTGCAGGAAATAATTATGCCATCACATAAATTTTCCACCCTAAAAAATTAACACACAATGACTTTTATAGCTTTTAATAGGGAGACAGAAAACACAGCAATGAAATAAATATCTGATAATCAAACAAAAGCCAGCTTAGTAGCTACTAGGTGGCTCAGGCTTTATTGGAAAGCACTGAAGTCAGACTGTTTTTAGTTGGAGTTAGTTACCACAATTTTGTTTCTCTTCCCTTTGTGTGGAGGAATTTAATGGCAAAAATCAAGAGCTGGCATTTGTAATTGAAGGGCAGGATTTTATCTCCTTTCAGATACTCTACACTCTCAAAACTTTATTTCTGCACTCAGATTTGAAGCTTCTCAAACAAATTTCTTCTCCACTTGCACAAACTTTCTCTCTGCGTGGATCTAATCTGCAATTGCAAGTCTCTCTGCTCAGCTTTCTAATGTTTTTCACTGTCACAAATCAAGGAGTTTTGTCGCCTAGCAGCCATTCCAACCAATAGGATGACAGCATTCCTTTCGGAAGAGAACCTGGGTGTGATTGTGTGGCTACAATATATAGCTGACAATTCCTCCTCTGGTGCCACCCAGTGAATGTAGGAAAAAGAAATTACACTTTCTACTCTATGTTACAAATTTCAGAAAGTCATCAAGGATTGATCTGTAAAGACAATAAACATTGTAAAATATACTTTTAATCATTTATAGTATTTAACTTTCCGGGGTTTACATATCATTGTACGATTGTTGTCTCATAAGTGTGATGTGTCTTCAACTCTGACATTCAGTAGGGAGAAGGTCACCACATGGCACAATAACATCTGGGTTTAATCAGAGTTCAATAAAAAGAACCAATCTGCAATTCTCTTAAAAGGCTCTCTGAAAATGGGAAAGACTGTGTTGCTACAGCAACAGTAACCTCTCAAATTAAAGCCTTCATGTAAAGCATCACTGAAGGAACATAATAGGCAAGCAACAATTTCCTAATATTGGCTGGCTGGTGTGTTCCGGCATTATTTCTGAGGCTGGTGTGTGAAGCTGACACTGAGTGTGTGTTGAGGGTGTGTGTTTGGCTCTGGGATAACTGCAGCTGAGTCACAATGGATGCAGATGGAGGCATGCCTCTCCAGGCTGCACTGCTCTCACTCTGACTTGGTGGTGATGGTTAGATGTAGAATCAGTCACTGGGATGAACAGATGAATTTGTTCACAGAGACAATTACATTAATAATCTGATAAATATTTTATTTTGTGAAACATTACTGAGATCATTGCAGGGAAGCCCTTATTAATGTAAGGAAAGTACAATTTGTTAGACTCTGCCTCCAGCATGCAGCGCTGCAGAAGCCCTGGACTAATCCATGTCCAGAGCTGCACAGGTGTCTAGCTTTTAATAGCTGGCTGGGCTAATGAGATATCAGGCTAAGCTAACTTTACTGACTTTCCCCTTACAACACAGTTTGTTTTTGAAGAAAAGGAGATTCTTTTGTCATGAGAACTCCAGATCTTAAGTTTGCTGTAAACACTGCAGGTTTCCATCATCTGAGGAAGCAGCCAGGCTACTGCAGCCTGTAAGGCAGCATGCACTGATGCACTGCCACTTTTATGATTCAAGATCTAATAGATCCTCTAGTCTACAGAGACTTACTAAAATGGAACACACAGGTGATGGGTGTGGTATTTATTGTTATTTTCTAACATGCCTTGAGACCATACCAAGGTTCCACACACACCTCCCTAAGAGCCAGGCGGAGGGAAGTTGCTGGGCGCTGGTATTTCAGGCACACAGCGCAGCTCTATGACAGATAAAGACGCAGAGAGAGAGAGGTGGAGGGGGAGATCTGAATCGCTCCCAGCCTACACATTCTCCCAGCAGCCTCAGCCCCAGTAATGTTGAGTACGCTGTGAGAGTGAGCTCTACCTCTCTGAAACACTCTGCTGTTGGAGGAAAGACAAAGCTAAAACCTGTGAGTACACCTTTCTAATCCTTCAGCTCGTCCTGCTTGCCTTGATGCCTGTAATGTAAGCAATGGAGAATTCCACAGAAACATCTTGCTATGTATGAGACTGTAGACTAAACTACTGCTGCTCTGCTACTGCGTAGGCTGAACACTCTGCAGTCATCAGGACACAAGTTGTTGTTGATCTGGAAATAAAATGAGGACCAAGGGTCTTTTGATCCCTAATCTCTTAATTCCTTTAAGCTGTCAGCTGTTTGCAGCTTCCCAGCAGGGTTCTGCTTTTATCTATTAATATTTACATGAGGATAGCTACATGGAGTTACTGCATGGAATCATGTCGTCATTTCAGAAACTTTCTCTGTATCACAAAGGCTGATCAAATACTCACCAAAACTGACAGCAGCCATCATGAATGTGGGCATGTGCAAAGTAGGACTGTTACCCTCCCACTCAGCCATTCCTCACTGCCTTCAGAGAGCCAGTAAATAAGTCAGTTAACTAACCATTCAGTCAACCAGTCAGTCAGTCAGCCTCTTCTTCATTCCTCTTTAACACATTTGCAGAACTGAGGACAGCACAAAAAATGCCAACATGGCAGTGGCCATTTCAAAGATTTTTTCAGCATTTGAAATCATATTAATGTTATTCAAATATAATATTTATAAAATATAAAGAAGATCTAATAATGTGCCCTCTCTTTAGAAAGTTTTCAAGATGTATGATTTAAAGCCTCCTTTTCTACAGGAGTGGCTTTGAGGGTTCTAAGCTTTACCAAAGTTCATGGTGCCAAGCAGGAAGAATGGAAGCTTCCCAGATAGCACAGAATGATTGAAACAACATTGAATCAATGTCAGCCAGAAACATTGAATCAACGTTGAACGCTGACATTGAAACACTTGTATGTTGATTCAACGTTAACGTTTCACCATAACTGACATTATATCAATGTTGATTCAACCATCATCTGTATGTCAACTTACATGCATAT